TATTTTTGAAAAATAAAAAACCTTCTGATTTTATTATAAATTTATTAGAATTAATAAACTAACTATAAAAATTAGGTGACATATAATAAATATTAATTAGTAAAACGTATACAGCAGCTTATACACATTTGTACAAAATGTATAAATAACATTATGAATATAAAACTATTTTACATAAACGTGATGTTTTTTTTTATATTTGCATCATATATTTAATATCTACTATCTAATATACTATCTCTAATATACTATCTATATAATATACTACTCTAATATACTATCTAATCTATTAAGTTTTTGTTCTTTCCCTTACAATTTTTTTTGCGAAATCATTATTTAAATGAAACAGTATTTGCATTAGCAATATCTAGGATAGAAATTATTGCATATTATTGTTATTGCCATATACGCTATAAACATCAATATTTATTATTACATATAATCTTTTCTTTCGTTCCATAAGTTTCATATTAAAACAAGTTGCTTCGAAGTTAATTATAATTCATGTAGAAATCATCTTCTTATCAACATATTTTTTATTAATGATTACAGCAACACGATTTTTACTATTAGATTTTTGCTATAAAATTGTATTTCTATTTTGTTTTAGTTGCCAATTTATTCTAACATTTGCAAATTTTGTCGGCAAAATGCGAATTCAATATAGATAAAATTATCATAGCATACGTCGCAATATTCTAATCAAATTCCTGCTGTCAAACTTCTGGCATACTGCTAACAGCACTGCTAACATTTTACTTATTAGGGAAGTAGCGATATAAGAAAGAAAGAAACTTGGCAATAAACTGCGAGCAAATTGGTCCACAGGCACGAGATAAAATCACAAGTTTCTGCAGATCATGTGAGCCTGTTCAGTACATGCTAAAGATCATCTCAAGAAACAATCCAGTACATAAGCTTGATCATTTCTCTTCTTGATCATGTCTCATGTCATTCGGTATACTTGCCACGAGATATCTATAGCTGAAAGATTACCTGAAAAAATGCACACAAAGAGATAGTTTTTATAGTAATTTTTATTTAAAAATTCAATTTTTATTCTCGCAGACATTATTATTATTTTAATATACTAAATATATTTATATAATCCATAAAATTGAAATTATTTACTATCTGTTGTCGATACATTTATAAATTATTTAGTATTTCCAACTGTTTAATAGCAATTACCGCAATTGTGGAATAGTAATTATCTGATATTTGCATAGTTACAAATATTAAATAATTTATAAATGCATTAAACAATAATATGATAATAATTGATGCATTGATAAATAATCTTTAAACAATTTAAACAATTTTATAAAATATATATATTTTAGTATATATGAAAAATTATTAAACAATTCGTATATTTATATATATCATACTTCTATTAAATAAGACTTCATAATAATTTTATATTCCACGTTAGACTAACAAATATAAAAGTAATGTGACGCATGTCCGAAATGTCAAAAATAATGATCATTGCACCGCGGGAGTCGCGTGGAACCATTTTAACTCTTCGTTATGCTACCAGCCGGATCGGTTTGAAGCACGAAAGTGAGTGGTGAACAAATGGTCGAGATCGATAACGGCAACGTGGTATCAACTAAGAAAGCGAATTACTTTATCCTCCGTTAAGTTTATTTTTTGTGATATCTCGCAAAAATATATTTTTTCGCAAGCGCCTCTTCAACATCGATCCTTTACCGTTCGCTGAATGTCGTTCCTTGAAGCTATTTCGTCCTGCATTCGAGACTCAACAGAGATTTATGGTAGCCTGGTAGCTTCGGAAAGCTTCGGACAGCTAGCGACTATCGATTGATAGTAAGGTGAGACAAAAATAGCATCCTCGAAATCAAATTTGAGATAACAAAGGATGAACTCTGTTTATCAATTATTCGTTGCGTGTCATTCCTTCAGACTATTTTGCCGTTCAAGAATCACGAGAGATTTATAATAGCCTGATATCTTCGGAAAAGCTTGCTGGACTCATGTCGAAAGCAAAAATGAAACAAGAAGAGCATCTTTAAAATCAAATTTGAAGCAACAAAAATGAATGTTGCACTCCATATAGAATAATTATTTACACATAATAATATTAAATATATAAGTAACATTGTTACTTTTACATATAAATACTTTCGTCACATCAGAAAATAGAATACGTTATATTATAGAAATGAAACACATATTTCTATCGTTAAATGAAAAATGACAGAAGATGACAGAACACTACAAGACATTAATATAATATACAAACATCTTTTTACATTATAATTATATTGTTGCTCAATTTTTTTTGCGAAAAGTTTTGATATGTAAAGAATATACGAATTAAAAAATATATATTTATACAGTCTTTATTCTTTTATGATTATTATAGATATATATATCTTTATAATAATTACTTTGAATATTCAGAAAATATTTATTATCAATTATATTTCATATTTGTCGCATCATTATGCGTTATGCATAGCTACTTCGATGTAACTTAAAAAAAGATTTATTAAAAAGCGATACAAATAGATTTGAATTTATACTTATATTTATGTTTATATTTAAAATTAATCGACGTAATTATATAACACATAATCTATGAAATTATGAAACATTTTATCATTTATAAAAAAAGTTGTAAAAAACTTTAATTATTATTACAGTCAAAATGTTATGTTAAATGCTTGTTAATTTAAATTGTTTCCTTTCTTCCATCTAATGAGAAATGATGCAATACAATATTTTATTATAAGACAACGTTTTTTTTATATAATTACGAGTCTCTAATGAAACGAAATGTTATTCTACATTTAAAATTATTTTATTGATTACATATGTTCCGCATACAATATACATTGTGCATAACATAACAAAATTTCTTTCTTCTGATGTCATATCTTCATCAAATAAAAGAATAAAAGATAAAGAAAGATTCGTCAATGCCCAATAGGATGACAGGGGTAACCAGTGTGACCTTTACAACACTCAGGAAAATTACAGAGAAAATTACCGAGCTGAAAATTGTAAGGTTACATCGGAGTAAAACTTTCCTACTGCACGCTC